ATACAGATATACATGTAAATTGTGGGAGAATATTATTTGCATGTATACATATAGGTAAAGATAAAGGTTCCACTCGCACATATGTGCTAGTCGTTCCTGACTCTAGGGTGTGGTGCTCATCTCCGTTTCAAAGCTGGAGCCAGCGCTGTCCAAAGTCGTCTCCGTGGTCATGTGGCCGGCTCACGGAACGCTGTTACCTTCCCATTAAAGGTGGCTCCTATTTTTCTACTTGCATTTTTACATGCTTTTGAACTGTTAGGTTGGCGGAAGCTGAGACAAATAACGGGAGCTCACTCCATTACGCGGCACTAGGGATTTGAAGCGCCGAACTTCCGATCTTTCTGATCGATAAGCTTAGCCACTGCGCCACTGCGTCTGTCTGTGTGTGTGTGTGTGTGTGTGTATGTGTGTGTGAGAACTGTTGCGTTTTAGTTTGCTGGGGGCAAGCAGATATAATTATAGTAATTAAGTAATTAGAATTTATAACTTGCTTTAGTTGGTGCAGTAAAATAGTGGCTGATACAAGCTGTATGCACAAAATATCAAGGTTTGCAATGCCAAGATGTAAAACAAATACAATATGTGGAGTCTGCAACAGAATATTAATGTTCTTCCAATCAATCTGAAACACCTTTTAATGGTATTTCCAGTTATAGAATACAGCAGAAATGCAAGTAGTTCCTCACCATATAACCAACAATTGAGACTAGAACATCCATTGCTAAAAGAGATCATCATTAAGTGAATCATGCCTAATTTTATAACGTTTTTGTTATGGTCATTAAGCAAATCCAGCTTTCCTACTGACTGTGCTTGTGAAACCAGTTGGGAAGGTTGCAGATGGGGTTTGTGCGACCTCGGGATGCTGCAACTATCGTACAGACACGCCATTTGCTAGGTGCTGGAATTTTGATCGAATGATTGCAAAGATGGTGCAACAGTTTAGGGTTTTTTTCCAGCATTGTTGTAACATCAAATGGACATTAAACAAGTGATTGTACATCAAGGAATACCTGTAGGCAACTTTGGGGGCTCAATATGCAGCCTTGAAATGTTGGCATCATGGATACATCCATGAAATAATTGCTGGTGAAAAAGAGATTGCCTATTCCAAAAATGGCTTCCATAGTGAGCAGGACAGAATAACAGAAAAACAGAGTTTGAAGGGACCTTGAAGATCTTCTATCCAGTCCAACCCCCTGCTCAAGCAGGAAACCCTACACCAGTGATGACGAACCTTTTTGGCACCGAGTGCCAAAAAGGGAGTGCATGTGCTTGTCTAGCTCACAACTCGGAAGAGGAGCTGCTCAGCGGATATGCGTGCGCCAGAAAATGTACTTCCTGTTTCCAGCAGGCACTTGCATGCCGCCAGTTACTGGTGCCAGGTTCAGGCAACAATTAGCTGGCCAGTGTGCATGATCATGCCAGAAAATGGAAGACCAGCTCTCCCAATTTCTGACACTGCTGCATGCACAAAGACCACTGACCATCATGCGTGCATGCACGGCAGAAACCCAAAAGAGAAACGGCCGACGCCACTCATGCTGCGTAACATGGCTCTGCTTGCCACTTTAGGCACATGTGCCATAGGTTTGCCTTCATGGCCTTATACCATTTCAGACATATGGTTGCCTGATCTCTTCTTAAAAACCTCCAGTGCTGGAGAACCCACAACTTCTGGGGGGCAAATCATTCCACTGATTAATCGTTCTGTTAGGAGGTTGGAAATCTCTGTTTGGTCAAGCCTTTGCCATGGTAACCCAGACTACTATATTTTCCTCTTCAGTCAACATTATCTGAATACGCAATATTGTTACTTGATTATGGTGGTGGTGGTGATGATGATTATGGTGGTGGTGATGATGATGTTGATGATGATAGAATAGAATAACAGAGTTGGAGATCTTCTAGTCCAACCCCCTGTTTAGGCCGGAAACCCTACACCACTTCACACAAATGGTTATCTAATCTCTTCTTAAAAACTTCCAGTGTTGGAGCATTCACAATTTCTGGAGGCAAGTCATTCCACTGATTAATCGTTCTGTTAGGAAATTCCTCCTTGGTTCTAGGTTGGATCTCTCCTTGATTAGTTTCCATCCATTGCTTCTTGTCCTACCCTCAGGTGTTTTGGAGAATAGGTTGACCTTCTCTTCTTTGCGGCAGCCCCTTATCAGGAATGTCAAACTGGCAGGCTGTGGGGCAGATGCACCACATGCAGGCCACGCCCAACCCAGCTCTGTGAAGGGAAAAGACATCGCAGAAACCTGACACCACGGATTTGATACCCGTGCCTTAGATATTGGAACACTGTTATCACTGCTATCACCATTAACATGGCATCAGAAGTTGACAAACTGTTCTCTCTTGTACCTCTGTTCTATCCTTAGACACAGCTTAAAGTATTTTTGCAAATGAAGGTGATGATTTGCTGCTGTGTTGCCTTGTCCTATGACAGTACTGGCTTCCTCTCCTGCTTTATAGGAGTAGATTAGAAAGTTTCCATTCCCAGTTGTGTAGAGAATTGTATTGGGGGAGGGGGGGTTCCCTAGGGAAATAGAGAGCTTGCTAGAGATGCTGTTTTAATCTTCCATCTCATTAGGCTACTTAACTACAAAGTGTGAACCAATAAATTCACTCTTATTCATCTGTTCTTCATTTTTGTTTGTGCCTTCTGTTTTCAGCAGCTACCCTGATTGTCTGCATAACCTCCCATCCTGCTTAAAGAAGCATTTTTGAATGGTGCCATTTCAGTTCCAAATAAATAGGCAACCAGCTACCGGAGTTTGTTTGTTGACTTGGTAGGGAACCATCTCCTCTCCCCCCACCCACCCCCCAAAACACACACACCCCACACACATCTTGCATATACTTCAGCTGTAGCTATTTCTTGTGCAGTTTCAGAAGACCAGCACTGGAACATTTGTTGCATCTGGGGCCACCATCCTCTCTGGCCACAATGAAAGACCAGCCATAGGATGCAGGACAAGGTGGTGCCTCATCCCAGTTCTTGTAACTCTTATTTCTACATGTTCAGGTGGGTAAGATTGGGAAGCTACAACCGTTTAGACCAGTGCCCAGTGCCTGTTACATGAAACGAGGACTCCTTGGTCCTCTCTGAGCTTAATTGTTTTCTTGCATGGTCAGCACTGATGATGTTAGCTAGTTTGGTAATGAGATAGCTGCAAGAAAACAACCAAGCTCAGAGATCACCAAGGACCCCTCATTTCCACCCTGAGCTACAAATATTCTCCTTTATTAGAATATGAAGCCACCCACATCATTTCAACTGCTGATGAGAACAGTTCCTGGCAAGGTTCCTATGAAGAAGAAGAAGGAAAGATGGGAACAATGCAACTAACTCCTGAGGCATAGCCAATGATTTGGTATTTAGAAAGAGGGGAAAAAAGGGGGGGAACAGTCTTCTGCCCTTGACAGCCTTTGTCTAAAAACCATTTCAGGTGAAGAGCCTCAGCCCTTAAAATACACCAATTCATTCACCTCCCACCAATTGTCATTTTAAGCATCTCTTTTTCAAAGCCACTTGCCTCCTTACTTACTTGCTGCTGGCTAACTCAACCTGCATATGCTCTATTCAGAGGTGGGTTTTTTTTTTCCTTTCCAGCATTTCTATGGCTTCATACAGCTTTTAAGAGCTATCTTTTCTCCTTCTGGCAAAACGTGTCCTCACCAACCGCGTTAACTGAACAGATGATTGTACCTGAATCTTAGCATCTGCAGTATGTAAAATGGCTGCACAGCGTCTGGTGCCTTAATGATTCGTGCGGGCAGGCAGCCAAGTTGATTATGGGGATAACACAGCTCCTGTAGGAAAAAAGCTACAGCACTTGTGGCTTTTTAAGATACCCCAAAGAGCAGACTTTTCTGTCCCATTCTGGGAGTCCTCCAAATGATGTGGTTCTCAACTTGTTGCTGGGAATCTTGAGTTTCCAGTCCACACACATGGATAGTGGACAGACTAGTGGAAACTACGAAGTACATGGACTCTTAGCCTGCATTTCTTAAATATAGGTCCTAGTGTTACAATATTCATGACTGGGAGAGACATGGGAACAAGGTCAGCCAATGAATAGGCATAGCAACTAAGTCAGCCAGTGGGAGCTTAAACAGATCTGAGTCTGTGCAGAGAATTGAAACAGAAGTGTAAGCAGTCGGATGCTCTGACTAGCAGTCTGTTTGGGCTTATCTGCTGAAATGAAACTATCTGCTTGTGTTTGCCTGTAACTCTCCTGCCTTGTGTTTACTTGGAAGAACCACCTCTTGGTATTGTACAGTTATTCATCAATTCTTATGTATATAAAGAAGTTAATGAATCCTGCTGCATCAGTTATCTGTGTGTGCTTCTGGATTTGAATTTATGCAATAAACTCAAGACACCTAGGGAAGTGGAAGTGAATATTTGTTCTCCAGCCCATGTTTGTGAGTTTTCTGTAAGCATCCAGTAAACAGAGATTGATGAACCATGTTGGTTTGTGGTCTTCCCTTTGGGACTCGTCTTATATTCTTACATGTGGATAGCATGTAATAGAAGTAGGATCCTTCCCTTCCCAATCTGTGATTTAATTTCTAAAGCAATAGCAGTAGACTTATATACCGAGAAGTAGCCTTCTCCATCTGGTGAGCTTAAAATATATTGGATTTCAACATCTGAAGATTATTGGGTTGCAGAAAAATGTTCTAGAGTTATATGTTAGCATCTCACAAAGACGAAAGTAGTAATGTACTCATGAGACAGATTACAAGTAGATCAAGATGGTTGGGGATGAGGGATTGAAAATGAAGAAGTGCAATCTACTGTTACAGCAATGGACTACTTAGCCCCCTCCAAATGTTTGGGACTTCATCTCTCCCATTAATTTTAGACAGAATAACTGGAATAAACTTTATGAAAGTTCTGGTCCAAAATATCTGGAAGGCACCAATTTGCTACCCTTGCTATCCTGGCTTTTAAAGTAATGGCTTCCTCTGTTCTTTTATTACAGTTCTTTCCAAAAATCCATGTGGCCAAGATCCCAACCTTGGACTCTTCAGAAGAACCGTTCAGTCCTGATGGCTTATACTATCATCTAATAACGTAAAAAGCCAGGATTCGACTATGGGCGATTCTACAGCTGAGATTGTTGACCAAGCCACAGACATGGATTGCAAAGATGCTCAGATGGAGCTTGCTGAGAGAGTAGCTGCCATCAGTGTTGGTCCCAATGGAATTAAACCAAACAGTCAGGAAGCAATAGAAGAAAGTGTTGTTCTGTTATCTCACTGCACAGCTGGAAACAACCAAAGGAATGGGGTCAGTGTTGATTCAGGCATCTCCGAAGAACTGGATGACACTAATGAGTTGCATAAACCAAAGAAGATCCCCAAAAGGCCCATTTTGACTGGCAGGAAGTATTCCCTTCAAGAAAAGACTACTGGGAATTACTTGAGTTCCTCTGACCTTCCAGACTTTGGTCCATATGCCACGGGACCTTCCACGCATATTTCACCACGGACAGGGAGGAGGCCGACAATAGAGTCCCACCGAGTCTCCATCTCGGACGCTGCAGTAAGTTTGCTCTTTGTGACCCACTCTGATAACAAGCTATTATGTCCCCTGGGAATGTGATTCTCAATCATCCAGGTCATGGTTGTTCCAGTGGTGCTTTTTCAAAAGGCAACTGGCCTATCTTAGAGAGCCAAGAGGGGGCGCAGTGGTTAGGGTGCAGTACTGCAGGCCACTTCAGCTGACTGTTATCTGCAGTTCAGCGGTTCAAATCTCACCGGCTCAAGGTTGACTCAGCCTTCCATCCTTCCGAGGTGGGTGAAATGAGGACCCAGACTGTGGGGGCGATATGCTGACTCTGTAAACCGCTTAGAGAGGGCTGAAAGCCCTATGAAGCGGTATATAAGTCTAACTGCTATTGCTATTGCTATCTTTGTTTTTTTTCTTTTGAAGACATTTTGCTTCTTATCCAAGAAGCTCCTTCAGTTCTGTCTGGAGAAGCTTTTTGGATGAGAAGCAAAATCACTTCAAAAGAAAAAACAAAGTCCAGTTGCCTTGTGAAAAAGCACCTTTGGGACATGTCTGTTGGAAATGACATTAGTTCCAAAATGCAAAAGGGCCCACCCAGCCTATTCCTAATAATTAATGCAAGCATTCCTCCCAGTTACCAGTCCATCTGAATCATTATTTTTCCAACTGTCCCTTCCATTTCTTTCTACCATCATTTTTGGGTGCATCAGCTTTGGCACATATCTACGGAGATTTTCTCTGCTGTGGTAGCTTGCTGATTATTATTTTATTGGCTGACGTGTGTAGCGTTTCCCAGGGGACTCACATAAGATTGGAAAGGAAGCAATTTAAAATTTTAATGCAGGCAAAGAATGTGTAGTTGCTACGCTATTGGCAGCTGCTAAAAACCACATAACACTCTCAGTGGCTGATGTATTGTGGCATCAACTTTCATTAAGTCAAGTCTCCTTTGTCTGTTGCTCTTAGTTGGCAGATATATTTATATTTGTGTCCCAGAAGAAAAAAAAATTTTTTAATGTAAATTGTCAAGGCAAAATGAGCACGAAATGCAAGAGGTTCATAGACAGGCCTGTAACTTCCCTTTCCAAATGCTAATTGTGCATTTTGTGCATTGTGCATTGACTAATTCATTTGTTATAATAGTAGCTGTTTTTATATTGCTTTGTAAGTTTATCAGCAAGGGGAAAAGACCCAGTTGTTACCAGCTGAAAACCCAGTTGAAATACAACCTACCTCGAATGTAAGTCCTAGCTTGATTTTTACATGGGCACCCAATATAAGCCCTACCCCCAAATAAGCCCTAGTTAAGACCCTGCCCATTTCAGGGTGCAGGGGTAAAAATTAGGGTGTTGGGGGTGCAGCTGCCCTACCACGTATCTTCCTATTGTTGCAGCCAGATCTTGCACACCTTGGCCCATTTCTTCTGCGGCAGCAAGGCTTTCCGGAAGGCCTCTGTAGCCGATAACAGAGCTCCAGATCCAGAAGAAATGGGCCGAGGTGTGCGAGGCCTGGCTGCAACTATCCAAAGTTCCTGAAGGCTTCTGCAGTGAAATGGAGGTCGGGGTGACCCATGCAAGTGTGGTGAGTCAGTGGATGACACCCCCCCCCAAAAAAATAAGACCTGTTGCCTTTTTGGTGGCAAAAAAATATGAGACAAGGCCAAGGGTGGGTTCCGGCTACTGCTACTGCCTTTTTTGCTTAGGGATGCACTGTGTACGCACTGCGCATGCACAGAAGCAAAAAAAACAAGATGTCGGTGCCATAGAACTGGTTCGGGAGCATGGCAAGGCAGAGTTACTACCTACTCAGCTGAACCGGTCCGAACCAGACAGGGCCTTATTTTCGGGGGAAACACAGGTAGTAAATTCCTTTACCCTCTATTTCTGACTGAATCTGTGGTTATCGTCTTCTGCAAGTATCGTTATCTTTTTTTCTGATCTCTGCCTGTGTTTGCTTCTATTTTTCAAACATTGTCAAAAGTCCCTCGAGGAGGCCAAAGAATGAGTCTCTTTAAGGACACCAGAAGACATTGTTTTTGTGACCTGCCACATTTCTTTTTAAAAAGAAAGCTTTCACTGGAAAGTGGAGTTTGGTGAGACATTGATGGAGGCTGACAGCAAAATGACTGACTTTGTCTCTAAGACAGAGCTATTTATTCTGGGTTTCTGAGCCTGCCCTTTTCCTTTCATCTTTAATTCATCTTTTCCATAGCTACTGACTGCAGACTTAATATAGATGTGGCCTGTTTTATTTTCAGTGCTTACAGGTAGTCCTCAACTTACGACTGTAAATGGAGCCCATCATTTCTATTTTAAGTCATGATTGTAGGTCGTAAATCAAGGCACCCACGTGACTCAATTTTATGACTTTTTTGTGGCAGTTGTTAAGCAAATGCAGCAGTTATTAAGTGACCCCTGTAATCCTTAAATGAATCAATATATTTATATGGGCAATCTTAGCTAAGAACCGGACGGAAAGGCTAGAAACTACCAAAAGACGTTGTAAATCATGAGCACATGACCGCTGTAAAGATGAGCCAGTTGCCAAGCACCTGAAATGCAGTCATGTAACCAGTGGTGGGTTTCCAAAATTGTTCGAACCTACTCTGTGGGTGTGGCCTCCTTTGTGGGAGTGGCTTGCCGCCCATGTGACCGGATATGAAGATGCCGACGACACTTGTCAGAACCACCTTAAATTACCTCACACACAGCACTGGCATGCATAAGAATATGATGTAAACTTGTTTTTTAAAAGGCATCTTTGGTTTGCATTAAAACAACTTCAACACACGCAATGTTCTGATTGCACCACAAATGCAAATTGTTAGTTTCAAAGTCATATCTGACCCATCGCAACCCCATGGACAATATTCCTCCAGGCCTTCCTGTCCTCTACCATCCTCTGGAGTCCATTTAAGCTCATGTCTACTGCTTCGGTGACTCCATCCAGCCATGTCATTCTCTGTCGTCCCCTTCTTCTTTTGCCTTCAATTTTTCCCAGCATTAGGCTCTTCTCCAGTGAGTCCTTCCTTCTCATTAGGTGGCCAAAGTACTTGAGCTTCATCTTCAGGATCTGGCCTTCTAAAGAGCAGTCAGGATTGATCTCCTCTAGGACTGACCAGTTTGATTGCCTTGCAGTCCACGGGACTCACAAGAGTCTTCTCTAGCACCATAGTTCAAAGGCCTCAATTCTTTGGCGCTCAGCCTTTCTTATGGTCCAACTTTCACAGCCATACATTGCTACTGGGAAAACCATAGCCTTAACTAGACGCACTTCTGTTGGCAGGGTGATGCCTCTGCTTTTTAATATATTGTCTAGATTTGCCATAACTTTCCTCCCCAGTAGCAAGCGTCTTTTAATTTCTTGGCTGTAGTCCCCATCTGTGGTGATCTTGGAGCCCAGGAAAATAAAATCTGTCACTACCTCCAGGAAGGATCTTAGGGTCTATACATTTCTTTTTAAAAGTTTTCAGAAAGACCTATAGAGTGGAGATGAAACAGAATGCTGAATGGCAAGAAATAGGGCTGGATGGGCAGGAATCTCCACATTGCAGTATATATATATTTGCCACAGGCCCTAATTGTAAAATATTGCTGTACAGCAGGCTACTGTTAATTCTTTCCAAATGTGTTGGACTTCAGCTGACAAGTTTCCTAACCAATACAGTGCCATGGGGTGTCTTGAGTAAAGAATGAGCACATTTGCTCTGATCAGGGAAGATTTAAAAAGCCACACACGTAGCACCATATAAAAACCACACACAGAATAGTTCAAAGCACGCACTCTGCTAGAGATGTCTATGGAGATTCTCAGTCATCCAGGTGCATCCCAAAGGTGCTTTTTTTTCCCCAAAAGGCAACTGGAGCTTTTGGTTTTCTTTGAAGACTTTTCACTTCTTATCCAAGAAGCTTCTTCAGCTCTGACTGGATGATGGGGAATGGAAGGATTTATACTCCTTACAGACAGCTGGTCATTTGCATCCTTTTAGCAGGTCATTAAGGTCACTTGGAGGTTTATCTGTGTCATCAGGGTCATCTGAGTGGTGCAAATTGGTGTGGAGCCTTCTTGGAACTGTGTTGTAGATTAGAGATAGATGATTGTGTTGTAGATTTGTAATGTCCTCGACTTGCAACTGGTCCTAAGTCCTCAACTTACAATCGGCTGCAAGTTCTCGACATACGACTTACAGCCCAGCAACCAAAGGCTTGCGCGTATTGGCTAAGAGGCGCCGGGCTGGAAGCGGGCTTTTTGCTCTGATACTATTGGCTGCTCTGCTTGACAACTCCCGTATAAATAGCTGTCAAGCAGAGCAGGGTGCTGAATTGTACACAGTTGTTTGTTGCTTTTGTTCTGCTAAAATAAATGCTGTTCACGTTACCCCGGTAGTCTGTCGCCTCATCTGTCGGTCCAGTCTTCTTCAAGGTTGGAGATAGATGACGTGGTATCCCTCCCCCTCTGTTGAGAGAGGGGCTGTTCAGTTTTGACACAGATGACCTCTTTGACCCCTCTTTCAACCAGCAGTCCTCTCTGTCCAAAATATTGAAAAAAGAACCTTTGGGACTCTGCTAGAGAGAGGTTCTCTGAGGATGGGCTCCAGCATGAGTCCAAAGTTCAGAAGACAAAACCTCGGTCCTGATGACCGACTCAGATTGGTTCCTACAGCATTATCCCAGGACATGAACAGCGGTGGATTTCACTTATTTTTGCCACAGGTTCCCCCCCGCAACCTCGCTTTGCGCATGCGTGCACCTTCTACCCATACGCCTGGCTTTCCAGGCATGTGCTTTGCTCGGGCACATACCTTCCGCACATGTGCCCGGTCTCAAAAATGTGGCTAATGGGGTGGTGGGGCAGCGGCTACCAGTTCACCCGAACTGGTCCAAACCGGCTGAATACGACCTCTGGACATGTATATCCACCATCATTGTGAGGGAAGATTAACTTAAACATTTCCTTTATCCAAGAGTTGGCCTGTTTGCAATTCCTTAACTCTCCTGGCCCCCACCTAAATCAACAGAGTTTTGACAGGCACA